CTGTACGATAGTACCAGAGCTAGTGACGCACCGCCTGTGTTCCCCGTGCCCATCCAGCGTGTGCAAGCTGTCTCTGCAGCTGGTTCTGGATCAGAGGGAAAGAAGTGCAAATACTGCGGACGTAGTCACAAACCAGGCATGCGTAACTGTCCTGCGGCCAACGTCACCTGCAACAAGTGTGGCAAGCGAGGGCATTTTGCAGCGGTCTGCATGTCAAACAAAGTGGAAAGACACGAAGAAAGAGCCCGGCCAGTAGAGGATGAGCCTGATGAGTATGAGCATGCAAGTCGCATGTACGACTCCGCTTTCGCCGTCAGTAGCTCGGCACTCGCAGGCGACAAGACATTCCAGACTACCCTCAAAGTCAATGGTGAGCTGTGCACTGGACTGTTAGACACAGGTGCAACTCGGACGATCCTCACTGATGATGTGATCAAGCCCACGCGCAAGAGTGACCGCTTGCTGAAAGCGTACAATGGCGGTGTCGTAGAGACTTTGGGCATGGCTGACGTCCACATTTCACATGGTGGCAAGAACGTGAAGTGCAGTTGTTTCGTGGTAGCAGCCAGTCAGCACTCCGTTCTCTTCGGACAGGATGTCATCAAGGAGCTGAACCTCCTGTCACAAGCAAACGTGGTGAACGTGTCACCCATCGAAATCTCTCTGGAAGACGGTTCAAAGCCTCTAGCCCAGCCACCACGACGCCCAGCTTTCAGTATCCGGGCTGACATCGAGACCGAGCTGAAACGGCTGACCAAGTTGGATATCATTGAACCCGTCAAGGAAGCCACGCCGTGGGTGTCACCACTTGTTCCAGTCCGCAAACCGAATGGAGCATTGCGACTATGCGTGGACTACAGAGAACTGAATAAGAGAGTTACACGTGAGCGCAACGTTCTTCCAACCGTTGACGAGATCACAGCTCAGCTTGATGGCGCAGGGGTCTTCTCAGTTCTGGATGCGGAATCTGGATTCCATCAGCTACTCTTGTCAGAAGAAGCAAGGCCTCTAACGACTTTCTCATCGCACTGTGGCCTGTTCCGTTTCAAGCGTTTACCTTTCGGTATTGCATGTGCGCCTGAGATTTTCCAGCGAGTGGTGTCCGACATTCTGGAAGGCCTGCCAGGAGTCATCGTCTACATCGACGACATCCTAGTGTTTGGCTCCAATCAAGCAGAACACGATGCACGGCTAGAAGCAGTCAAGCAGCGACTGCGAGCAGCTAACCTCCAACTCAACTGGACCAAGTGCCGACTGAACCAGGACCGTGTGAAGTATCTGGGACATTGGCTAAGTGCGACCGGCTTGTCCCCAGATGATGACAAGTTACAAGCCATCCAGGAGCTGGCCCCTCCGAAATCTATCTCTGATGTGCGACGGTTCCTGGGGATGGCTACGTACCTTGGAAAGTTCATTCCGAACTTGGCCCAGATCACGGCTTCTCTGCGCAGGCTAGCAAAGCGTGATCCCTTCAGTGTGGATGATGAAGTCCTGCAGGCATTCACCTCAGCAAAGGCTGGTATAGCGTCAGCTTTGCAAGCGTTGGCATTCTTTCAACCAGCATTGGACGTCCCTACTGCTATCAGCTGTGATGCATCGCCAGACGGTTTGGGAGCAGTCCTGTGGCAGAAGAATACCAGTGGCTGTTGGGTACCAGTGACATGTGCCAGTCGCTCTCTATCAGATGTTGAGTCACGCTATTCTCAGCTGGAACGAGAGATGCTGGTAGTGGTATTCGGCCTGACTCGCTTTCGGCAGTATGTACTAGGCCGAGAAGTGCAAGTGTTTACGGATCACAAGCCGCTTATTTCTATCGTCGAGAAGCCGTTCGACGAAGTGCCACCGAGGCTTCAGAGATGGCTGGTCGCATTGATGCCCTATCGCTACAGCTTGGTGTTCGTCCCTGGCCAGCAGATGGTTTGTGCTGACACCCTCTCTCGAGCTCCTCTACCTGATCGCACAGCTTCACCTGCAGAGGCACGTTCAATGGCGGAATTCGTTAGTCTCATTCTCGAGGCTTGTCCGGTTCGTTCCAAGGATATTCGCCAGGCCACGGACTCTGATCCGACACTGAGCAGCGTCCGACAAAGAGTGGGCACATCAGTTTGGTCAGGGTGCATCCAAACGGAAGAGCCTTACTTCCTGCTACGCCATCAGCTGACAGTCATTGAAGGGATTGTCATGCTAGACAATCGCTACGTCATTCCAGAAGAGCTCCGCCCAGCGGTGCTGCGACTAGCACATGAAGGTCATCCAGGCATCGATGCATTCCGGGATACCCTTCACGAACGGGTTTGGTGGCCAGGTCTCATGAAGGATGCCAATCTGTTTGCAGAGAAATGCTCTGAATGCTGGCGTAAACGCTCCAATCCAGCGCAACAGCTCCTCCCTACAGAGATAGAAGGTGTCTGGCAGAAACTGGCCATTGACCTTGTTACCATTGAGGGAGCCACGTTCCTGTCTGCTATTGATTATGGTTCCCGCTGGCCAGAGCTTCTACCACTGTCCAATACTACGACAACGGGTGTGATCGACAAGCTGATGGAGTTGTTCGCACGGTTTGGTCTGCCTTCAACACTCGTCTCGGATTGGGGCCCACAGTTTGCATCCACTGAGATGTCCAAGTTTCTCGCTCAGTTGGGTGTTGAGCATTGCAAGTCTAGCCCCCGGTATGCCCGCTCTAACGGTATGGTGGAGCGACTACATCGTCTGGTGAAAGAACGAGTTGCCAGCCTGAGACCTCATCTACCGCTACACCGCCGCATCACTCAAGTCTTGTTCGACATTCGCAATTCGCGGCACCGGATGCTAGGTACATCGCCGAGCGAAGCGTTGTTCAGCAGAGTCATTCGGACACGGGTTCCAGCATCCATCACCCCACAGATCGTCAACCCATCTGAGCAGATCAAGGCGAAAGCAGCAATGGTTGAAGGTCATGACTCGCGCCGAGGTGTCCGCAAGTTACCCCATTTGCCATCAGGTACGCGGGTAGTGCTCCATGATGGGTGCAGCGACCCTCGAAAAGAATGGAAGGTAGTAGAGCAGTATGGTCGTCAGGTTGGGGTCACTGATGGGTCACGCATACTGCTCCGGAACCGTCAGCATGTTACCGAGTTTGTAGCACCAGCAGCAGCAGCAGCAGCGGAGAAAGCACCCATGAGTGAACCTCTGGCACAGTCAGAGAGGGAGCATGTGCCAGAGCCAGTGTGTGCTCCAGCACTGCCAGTGTCCGACCCAACAAGCCTTCCGTCAGCGAGCAGCGCAACATGCAGGCCCGAAGCTCCAGTAACTGCGCTCACATTGCCGTTGTCTCCTGCAGCTTCACCGGAGACGACAGCATCACCTGCAACACCGGCCTGTATGTCACTGTCACCGCCAACATCTCGTCCAAGTGTATTCCGCGAGGGCGTACAGACCAGAGCTGGCCGTCAGATCAAGCTTACAGAGAAAGCACGTGAAGCTGACATCTGAGTCGTCGAGTCATGCATTACCAAATGAGTGGCTTCAATCGCTACCAGATTGGCGTTGTTTAGAATCTTCTAACTACCTTGTGAATATTTAGATTTTTCTTTATTTTTTCCCTTTATTGGTCGAGTTTGCATTGTAACTCAAACTCATGGTGTTTTTGCCTCAAGTTTTGAGTCAGATTATTTCTAATAGTTGCAACACTTCCCGTCTCTCTTTTACTCCAACACATGTATGTACATTCCTCTGCAAGCTGCAGGATACGGATGCAAGTGTTTTTGTTTTGTTTTTTGTTTTCCTTTTTTCTCTTTCTTCTTTTTTTTTCTTTTTGAGGGAAGGGGGGTAATGTAGATATCGTACATGCAGTTGTATGTAGTACTATGTACGCACCTGCAGGCATGCCGTGCTTGTACCGCTTTATGTATAGCACGAGAGAGATGACATGGCGCACTTCTGATAGAGAACTAAAGAAGATCTGTTTAGCACAATGGCTGTCTTGTGAGTGACTGAATAGATGTCTACAAGAGCCAACAATACAATTTGTTCTGCGGCCTTGGGAGTAGTGTTGGAGTAGAAATTGCTGAGGAGACGTCGCGGAGGGGCGAGCTTTCCTGCGCAGGTATGACTTTGGCCGTATTTCAGCATGGTCGAGTGGAAAATTTCAAAAAGGTTTATTTCAAGAAACCCCCAAAAGGAAGATGGGGGACATGTCCTCAGCGCTAGAAAAGGCGTTCTACTATCTGCCGGTGTATAGTTCTGGCCAATTGAGGACGTAGCTGGCTGTTTTGCCAGCGCTTGTAAATTGGCTATTTTCAAGACGATCATTTGTGGCGTCAGGGGGTGATGGACCTCGTCTTCTGGGATCCTGGCGTGGCTTAGCGGTACTGCTCCAGGAACTCTTCTAAGGTGAGGCAATATTGGCTTGATGGAGTTTTGTTCATAGCTTGTTCGTATACGTTGTGGCGTGACTCGTTTCTAGACCCATAAATAATGTGATATTTCGGCCATTTCTGAGGGGTATCCAGATTTCAAGGTTCCCTTCAGAAACTTTTTCAAGGGCTTTGCACAATCGATCCACACCCCAAAGGGAACCTACCTGCAAATTTTGAGCGAAATCGGAGAGATCCACTTGCACACATACTTTGGTATTCTCAGACATGCTCTCTTAATTCTTTTTATCGTATGCAATACCTGCAACAACCATGGAAATGGAATATTCCACACTCCCTCCGGAGAAAAACACGAGTTACTATCAATTTATACAATGACACAATGATAATAGACGACTGCCCATATGCCTGCATCGGTCGAGTAGCATACTATTCAAAAAAAGCATTTCAATTCTATAAGCCCATTGCCCATTGCCAAATATGGACTGAATGAGTAATGCAGGTGAGTACGTTGGGATCAGCAATGCACTGTTCAACAGCCCCAGACGACCATGCCTAGGTGGTCGTGTGGGTGTTTATGGTACAAATTACGTCATTGCGCAATGGACTTATTGCTTGGCGTTTTCTCTTCTTCTGCTCTTCTAGTGGATTTCAATATCAGTTTACCAAATGACGACAAAGGTGCAAACGTGCAGTATACAATTGAATTGATCCGCTACAGTCTGAACAAAGGCTTGTTTGAAACCGTGCTCGAGCAGAGTGGCTACACGGCGAGTGACTTTCCTCGTACATTGCTAACCACCTGGCACGCTGGGCAGTTCTTCGTTCATGTGTACGGCGTACAGCAGCCAGGCTTTCGACACACGGTCCTCATGGACTATTCCCAACCCGATGTTCTGAGTAAGAGTGTTAAGGCGTTTCCAGCAATCTCTGTGCTGTTGTTGTTGCTGCTGCTGCTGCTGCTGCTGCTGCTGCTGTTGCTGCTGTTGTTCTTGTTCTTGTTCTTGTTGGGGGTGTGGTGGTGATGGTGGTGGTGGTGGTGGTGATGAGGGTTGGGTTCGGGGGGGGGGGGGGGGCGGGGAGGGGGGGGGGGATGCTGCTGCTGCGTCTGCTCTTATAGAGGTGGAATCCTGATAATTCGAATATGGTTTTTTCGCTTAATTAGAAGTTTTTCCAGGACCGATTTCTATCAATACGATTCCCACATAACAATTTCTGATAATTCGAACCACGAACTGGACATGTCCGGTTAATTAGAAGTCCCACGGATTCCACTTACATAGAAAATGTGTGGGATTCGTGCTGATAATTCGAAGTTGGCAAAGTGTAATTCGAAGTTCACTGTACACTGTGCTGGTCAGTTCAGTTTGCATGAGCAGGCTGTGTCGGTCAGTTCAGTATCAGTGAAATCTGTGTCTAACCTGTATCTCTCTCCCTTGCTGCTCAGCTGACTTGTGTCGTGCGTGCTTGCATGTATAGGGGTGTGGGCTGGAGACGCAGGAACTAGGCTGTCCAATTGTGTCAACTTTGCTGCGAAACGGGACGCTCATACATGATGAAACTTACACAACAGAAATTGTGTCCCATATGATAGGCATGAAAATGGTTTTAGTCCAAAGCGGGATGATTCGTGGCCTACAGTGCACAGTCAGAGTACAGTTGAACATCGATTATCCGCACATCGACTATCCGACCATTCGATTATCCGTAACAGTTTTTTTTGGGTGCACGTGCCGTAGAGTACGCACTGTGCATGTAGTGAGCCATTCAAAAATACGAAAAATTTGAAAAGTAAAAAGTAAAAAGGTCGTGCGGCTAGTATTAAAGGGGAAGTATACCCTAAAATCAAATTTTCACCAGTTGTAGTCTTCTGGGTGCTGAGTCGAATGGTCTTGGTCCGAGGAAGCTGCGACGCTCCCTTCCTACTTGAATCCCAATCGAACTCGCGCACTTCCACCGAAACTGGGTGACTGCGCCCTACTAGATGGGGATTTGTATGCAAAATGTCACTAAAAGCGCCATTTCGTTCTTATAAAAGCACGGATGACCGCGATTGGCCCATATGTTGTAGTCTTTTGGACGCTGAGTCGACTGGTTTTGGTCCGAAAAGGCTGCGATGCAGTGTTCCTCCTTTATTCCCAATCGAACATGGTTGAACAAGCGGTCACGTGCTCCTGGGTGCCCAAATCACCTGGTCACCGCGCCAGCAGGCGACAACTTTCACACCAAGGTTCAACTCGAGTTCAACTCGAGTGACAGGACTGCACCCAAAAAAGGTCAAACAGGCTAGTAAGTTGTACCCTGCAGGCACAGTGACCAGGTGACTGGCGTACGCAGGAGCACGTGACCGCTTGTTCAACCATGTTCGATTGGGAATAAAGGAGGAACGCTGCATCGCAGCCTTTTCGGACCAAAACCAGTCGACTCAGCGTCCAAAAGACTACAACATATGGGCCAATCGCGGTCATCCGTGCTTTTATAAGAACGAAATGGCGCTTTTAGTGACATTTTGCATACAAATCCCCATCTAGTAGGGCGCAGTCACCCAGTTTCGGTGGAAGTGCGCGAGTTCGATTGGGATTCAAGTAGGAAGGGAGCGTCTCAGCTTCCTCGGACCAAGACCATTCGACTCAGCACCCCGAAGACTACAACTGGTGAAAATTTGATTTTAGGGTATACTTCCCCTTTAACCACTGAAAGTGTGTGAGTGACAGTTTTTTCTTATCCGGAACATTTGCCTTATCTGAACACCGCCTGACAGCTGTCTGCCCAGAGGTGGTCGGATAATCGATGTTCAACTGTATATCATCCTACACCTCTATTGAACTTCGTAGCTATAACGTATGAGTGTTCCTGTAGCATCATATGGGCCGTGGTCAGCTAAATCATGTCTTTGGGTTTTCGCAAAACAAATTGAGAAATGACGGAATGAAAAAAATGTTTTTGTCAAGCGCGTTCACTCTGCGCTTCATTCACGAACCGGTGGCGATCCTCTTCTCAAATTTAGTTCAAACACTAATCTTGTTTGGGAGTCAAGTTCAAGTAGCTGGTAAGCGAAGACTGACAATGTCCGTGTCTAGTGACACTAGAGCATCTCGCAGGGCCAGACGATCGCTGTGCATAGCCCGGGTTTGGTCAGGTGTCAGCAAGGCCAAGACGATCCCTGTGCATGGCCCGGGTTTGGTCAGGTGTCAGGAAGGCCGTAGCAGCGGATCTGCAGAGAGACGGCAGTTTTTGAATCTGATGTTGATGTTGACAGCGAAGCTGAATCACCCCCGTAGTTCCCAGTAGTGAAGAAGCCTTGCGGGCGAGTGAATCAGACGACGAACGAGCTGATGGCGTTACATGCAACTCAGTTCTCATGAGCCGTCTGACGCAGTCTCGGAGCGCCGGTGACAATCACAGTGTCACAGCCAGAATCGAAAGAGTATGCAAGTGCAACGCCGCCCAGAGCATCGTGGTGCTTTCCAGGAAGAACTTGGTCCATGACTTGGAACTGATGTTGACATGCTCAAGTCGGTGTCATCATCTTTAGTTCCTTTGAATTTTTGCTCCTCCACAAAAGCCACTTGTTTGTCTGTGTGTCCGACTGTGCAAAAATTCTATTTCAAAGTTTATATTTTGAAAGCGGTGTTTGGGGCACTTTTAGACTACTTTGGTGCCCTGCACTGCCTTCAAGAGGTCAAGTAAGGTCCCCAAACCTGTTTTCTGGAGAAAAACAAAATTTGAAAACTTTCACTGTAAGACATGTTTCAGCTGCCCGCAGGCCGTGTGGTGATAGAGGAGGAGATGTTGGTAACAACGCCATCGCCACCACCTCCACCACCAGGAGCAATGGCGTGACAATGACGAGAGAGCTTGAAAGCTCAGGGCCCTACTCTATGCTTTTTTCCCTAGCTCATCATGCATGTTATTAGAACTGATGGAACTTTCTCTTTGGCCCCAACTTCGTTGCGGTCTTGTAGTGTTTTACGTCGACCATGACGGCTACAATGCCCAACCATACCACAACGAACTGATCGGCTACATCATTGTATTGCAAAAAGTTTCCATCTGTTCGAATAACATGCATGATGAGCTAGGCAAAAAAGCATAGCGTAGGGCCCTGAGCAAAAGAAATAAAATGACGGCTTTGAGCAGCAAAGCCAAGTTAGCCCACGCATGCGCGCACGTGTTTTGTCACGGGTTCGTCACGCGCACATGAATAAAAAATATTTTTTCCGAAAATGGTGGATGAAAAAATAAATCTTGCGTGGCCGCTTTGCCCTGCCTCGTGTCAGCAAAGCAACTTCCTTGTCAACAATTTCTGTCATCCAGTTAGTCAAAGTGACTCAAGGTCGTGTTTTCTCCGTTTTCTCCATTGTCTCTCCGCCAAGCTGTACAAGAGTATCAGTTGTGCTAGTCTGCGTAGACAAGCGCTGACTCGTGTGAGCGGGAAGCGCTTGAAAATTCACAACTTCAAACAGCGATCGATCGCGCTTTGTTGAAATATTTATTTGTTGCGTGGGCAGATAGAGTAGCTCATGGTCGCAGTAGTGAATTTCCTGGAGTTCATGAGGCCAAGCAAGAACTACTCGAAGCAGAGGACCAGTTATTTAGGCCTCGACATGGCGAGTGGCGTTGACGCCAACTCAGAAATGGCTGTGATTACCTGTCAAAAAATCTAGCCAAAGAAGTAGACAAGGAGCAGAGGCATTTGCATGGACAACGTACGATGGTGGTTTGCAACATGCTACTACTGCTGGAGCGACGTTGAGTGCAGGGACGATCGTTGATCATCTAAGTATCAGGTGTGGTTGTCAAACGCTTGTGGCCTTTGATGTGGATATGAAGATTTTATGCCCACTGTGCGTTCGTCATGGCCAGCAATTGAGGACATCTGAGAGTTGTAATTTTTGTACTCCACCGAGGTGTGATTTTTGGCGTGCTGGGCCAAGCACAAGGAAGCCATCTGCAAAAAAACTGCAGAAAATGGTTGTTGTTTGATCCTTTGGTGTAATCTTTGTTTCTAGTCGAAGCTTGTTGCTGTTTGGAGCAGAAACGCTGAAATTGACTATTTTCTGCATGTACTCATACCTGTACTCATGTACTCAGTCATGCAGTCTCACTCGTATTTTAGCTCTTTTTCTGGAATGGATGCTGCTCTGCGCCCCTTGGTGAATATTTCCTGCGCTCGTGGAGCAGCTGAAAAGGACCACTGGTATGTCTAGTTCCTGGTTTGAAAGTGGAGAGTCGACTTTTGTGCCTTGAAAAAGGAGTAGAGAGCGATAAAGGTACGTCTGTTGCTTATTTTTTGAGTGCTCCTCGTACATTTTTGATCGTGATAGAAATTCTCAGACCAAAGTCAGACCAAAGTCAGCGCGATGATGGCCGTACAGTTTTCTTGTGGATTTTTTAGTTGTTTCATCTAGTATCTATGTCAGTATCGTGATGGTGAAGTGGAGAGGGTGATTTTCTTCCTCTAGGCTTCGTTCGGCCGACTTTGCTTCGTCCTCGTTGAAAAGTGATCCTGAAAAAAATGTCGATTCGCAAAATTATGTTGATTTTGAATGTACGTGATGACATGCGATTGCTGGCTATGTTATGCACCACATCTGCTGTGCACGTGGCATTACCCTATCTCAGGGAGAAATCATCAACCCAGTCATTCTGGGTAAAACTATTCCTGATAGCTGTGCAGGCCAGCACAAGAACCAGTACGCTGCACTAAACAAGGTGCTTATGTTTGTGTGCTTGATGGTCAATGGAATGAGTTCAACTGAAAGCAACGGTCCCGTAGGTCTTCGGCAACCTCAGCAAGGTGGTCGGCCCAGCAACAGTGGTGACGGTACTTGGCATAGAAGTCGACAGCGTGGACCAGGTGATGCGGCTACCTGACCAGAAGTTATTTGCCTTTCTAGCGGCTTTGAGTGAGTAGTCCACGCGCACTAACTACACAACGCGGGAACTGCTGTCGCTGATCGGAACCTTGTCCTTGCCGCAAAGGTGGTTCCTCCTGGCAGGATCTTCATCCGTCAACTCCTGTATCTTAGCTGGACAACTCTGTCTCTTCAGTCAGTAGTCAACATCGACACAGAAGCTCACTTGGACATCGAATGGTCGCACTCCTTTACTGCAAACTGGAATGGCCAATCCTTCTTCTACGATGTCGAGTGTTCAAAGTCCCCTGACCTTGAGCTATTCACGGATGCCTCTGATGTTGGCTTCTGCGGTTTCTATCAAGGACAATCGTTTTTGGGGCAATGGGCCGCTGAGATGCAGCATGAACCTATTGTGATTACTCGCTTCCGAGAACTAGCTTCTACAGCCAACCAATGCCTGGTGCCAACTCCTCCGCTGAACTCGTCGCTCTGATTTCTGCCAGCAATGATCTCATGAGCGACTCAGACCTTTAAGCCCGGTATTTGCGCACACATAATCTGATGTACCCAGTTTCGGCTATGGCCGAGTTCCGGTCCCTGACCGCTACTGCCGGCAGCCCACGGCCAGTGTTTGTGTTCGTCGCCAGCAGCTACTTCTCCCGAGTTTGCTCGACTAAGATCCTCAACTGCAACCGGGTGAGCTCCCATTCTGTGCGCATTGGCGGGGCCACACTCATGGCTCACCGGAGTACAAGTGTCTGTGAAGCAGCCATATGCCATGCAGGCTGCTGGCAAAGTGCAGCATCCGATCACTATGTCAGGCGTGCAGCCGGTATTCCCTCTGTGCAATGGCTAGCAGCAAAGACTGGAACAGCCCACGCCCATGTGGTGTTGAGAACAGAAGTGAGGTACATTTGTAGTGTTGTACAGTGTCGTGCCGTCCGCTTGTTGTGCAGTCCTTGTGCCGGTGTGGCTCTGTGGGTATCACCGACAGCTTGACAGCTTTGAGCAGCAAAGCCAAGTTAGCCCACGCATGCGCGCACGTGTTTTGTCACGGGTTTGTCACGCGGCACATGAATAAAAAATATTTTTTCCGAAAATGGTGGATGAAAAAATAAATCTTGCGTGGCCGCTTTGCCCTGCCTCGTGTCAGCAAAGCAACTTCCTTGTCAACAATTTCTGTCATCCAGTTAGTCAAAGTGACTCAAGGTCGTGTTTTCTCCCCTCCCTCCCTCCCTTTGGACATGACACGTTGGTATCTTGTGCCACGTGACGAGGCCCCAAGGAGGTTCAAATGCATTTGCCTCTCAGTGTTGTGCTGTATTGTCTCAGTGTTGTAACACCTGTATGTTGTTGTGTGGTTGACCCACCGGTTTGAGGCATGATGGTCAACTGTGTATGTTGTATCGGTGTGTTCCCGTTTGAAGTTGCCGGGCCACCATGTGGTTGACCCGCCGGTTTGAGGCATGGGTGGTCAACTGTGTCTGTTGTATCGGTGTGTTCCCGTTTGAAGTTGCCGAGCCACCATGTGGTTGACCCGCCGGTTTGAGGCATGGGTGGTCAACTGTGTCTGTTGTTTCGGTGTGTTCCCGTTTGAAGTTGCCGGGCCACCATGTGGTTGACCCGCCGGTTTGAGGCATGGGTGGTCAACCGTGTATGTGTATCATTGAAGTTGCAATACGTACATTGCTGTGACTTGCCCGATTGCAGTGGCCGGGCACCTACGCATTTATTTGCCTACTTGTGAAGAGATATCTCTTCTGGTTTATTGCATAATTCTTGGCTCAATGTTATCCACGGTGTCGCTCGCTGCAAAGTCTCGTAAATATTTATCAGACAAAATTGAAAGAAAAAAAAACTATGGCATACCCCACTTCCTTGTATTCTATCTGCTTGGTGTACATGTGTCCACGTTTTGTACGTTTGGCACGCACATGCGTGTGTGTGTGCGTGAGAGCGTGTCTGGATAAATGTGCATATTGATTGATGTTTTGTTTGTTTTAAGTTTTATTGTGTGTATGCGTGCATGCATGTGGGTTAACTTTCTCTTTGCATTCAAGGGTAATACGACACCATCTACCACCTTGATGACCTAAGCAAAAAAGCATAGGGATGTTATATATTTTTCATCTCTCCAATTTTTTTTCAAGACATAACCTGAGATTCGAACCCGCACTGTCGCCCTGCATGCATTCCCCCGATACACTTTGCATACATACTCATTCTTCCAAGTTGCTTCACGTTATGATCTTGCATTTGACAGTCCTATTTGAATAGTGTGGCCAGCTGTCTTTGATGGTACGGTACGGGACAGGTACGGGATAGCGCCAGGCATGCCGATGGCACAAACAAACAAACACGGAACGAGAGAGCTTGGCAGCTCAGGGCCCTACGCTATGCTTTTTTGCCTTGATGACCTAGGCAAAAAAAGCATAGTAAATTTTTCATTTATCCTATTTTTCAAGACATAACCTGGGATTCGAACCAGCACTGTTGCCCTGCATGCATCCCCCGATACACTTTGCATACATACTAATTCTTCCAAGTTGCTTCACGTTATGATCTTGCATTTGAAAGCCCTATTTGAATATTGTGGCCAGCTGTTCGTGGCCAGCCGTTTTTGATGGTACGGTACGGTACGGGACAGGTACGGTCGAGGGTAATACGACACCGTCTACCACCTTGATGACCTAGGCAAAAAAGCATAGGGATGTTATAAATTTTTCAATTCTCCTATTTTTTCAAGACATAACTTGGGATTCGAACCCGCACAATCGCCCTACATGCATTACCTGATACACTTCGCATTCATACTCATTCTTCCAAGTTGCTTCACGTTATGATCTTGCATTTGAAAGCCCTATTTGAATATTGTGGCCAGCTGTCTTTGATGGTACGGTACGGTACGGGACAGATACGGGATAGCGCCAGACGGACGTCCGTCCGCCACAAACAAACAAACACCAAATTAAAGCTGTGTGGACCCTGGCTAGCGCCAGACGTTACTGAAGTAATGTCTTCTGCATAGCTACGGGAATTAAAGCTGTGTGGACCCTGGCTAGCGCCAGACGTTGCTGAAGTAACATATGTTGCATAGCTACGGGAATAATACATACATGTCTATAGTGAGAGCTGTGGCACAAATATAGGAGTAAATAGATTATAGTTCTTTTTTCCTTTTCAGCGCCATCGTTTCAGCGCCATCGTTTCAGCGCCATCGTTTCAGCGCCATCGTTTCAGCGCCATCGTTTCAGCGCCATCGTTTCAGCGCCATCGTTTCAGCGCCATCGTTTCAGCGCCATCGTTTCAGCGCCATCGTTTAAGCGCCATCGTTTCAGCGCCATCGTTTCAGCGCCATCGTTTCAGCGCCACCGTTTCAGCGCCATCGTTTCAGCGCCATCGAGAGAGAGAGAAAGAGAGAGAGAGAGGGAGAGAGAGAGAGAAAGGGAGGAAGGGAGGGAGGGAGAGAATGAAAGATAAAGGGCCTGGGTAGCTATGGCAAATATGGACGCGCAAGTAGCTACCCAGGCCAACGGAACGAAAGATGAGTAGGAGGGTAAGTACGGGGTGCATGCATGCAGTCCAGCTTGGGAAACGTAGATTGTACGTGAGGAGGAGTTACTTAACACACAACCAACAAATTCTGCTCTTCACAGTAGGTGTTATCCTCTCTTCTGTCATTGCCATTGCCTGCAGGTCCTGTGCCACTGTTGAAGTGGTATATAACCAACAGCACCACTATCCTCAGCCAGGTCACTGTCCTCTCACTATCCCCCAACGTCAGCTTCCTCATCGCGGAGATACCGGAAATTAATCGTACTGGCGTTGAGGTGACTGAAGCCTGGCTTAGAGAGCCTACACGGGGATTCGTCCAGACTATGATGGTTATAGGCGTGCGTGCCGTGTTTTTGAATGTGCCGGATGGTTCATATGAGCTCTACTTTTCGACTGGCGCACTCTCCACCCCAACGCGCTTGGTTGATATCAGATCCAAGATTGGTAAGACTGGGTTTTGTTCATTGAAGTCTAATTTGGAATTCCACTATTCAGCAAACATACAAACAAACCTCAGCATACCATAATTATATGAATCCCGGATACTGCACAGGTCAAAATTTGTGTTTAACAACCACACAAGCCGACCTGTTTGGGAGCTATTACGCGTTGTATTATCAGGGCATAGGCAACAATTGCCGCATGCAGTATGCAATACTATGGACCAATGCCGTAGTATCGCAGGCAACAATTGCCGCATGCAGTATGCAATACTATGGACCAATGCCGTAGTATCGCAGGCAACAATTGCCGCATGCAGTATGCAATACTATGGACCAATGCCGTAGTATCGCAAGCACCAATGTGCGTTAGACTGGCCAATGCCAGGGCTAATGGGGGCAACAATTGCCCGGCGTGTCAATACACGCATACGGTAGGGATGCACTTGTGAGCACATGTAGGCGCACTTGGCTCAATGCCGGCCTGACCCACGATCCCTACCGTTCTCCCAAAATACAACATGACCCAAACAGGAATTATCGGCATTACTATAGTTCTAGTATAATAGGTATATCATATGTACACTACAGCTGTTGCTAGGGCCGTCCAATGCGGCTACCCATTAGCATAACGGGCAGAGACTAGAACAATGCCGCTGGCAATGCTCTGTCTGCGACAGGGGTGCGGACATAGCGGAGGTAGGCAGAGCTTTGCCACCTGCCGGCGGTCTTCAGCACGTACTCAGGCACGCCAGCTTTGCCTGCCAGCGTTACAGCGCCTCGTCTGAGGCTGTGGCTGCGCACGTCTTTGTTAGGCAAGGCTGTTTGTAGTAGCCTGTTGATGTTATGCGGCTTCAGGGGCGTGCCGTCATCATAGCGATAGAGCGGGCCAGGTGCCGAGCCACGGGCTGCTAGGTAACTGGTGGCTGCCGTGTGCGGGCATGTCGGCGAGCCTGTCCTCCTGACGCTAATGTCCTGGCCGCTGCCGTATTGGCTCGTCTTTGTCACACGCAGGCGCAGCTCCACGCGGTCTGGGTACATGGTCGCATCGCTGTACTCAAGGCCGGCGCCCCGTGCCGTGAAGGTGTACTCGTTGACTCTGAGCAGCCCGTGGAAGGCCAAAGTCACGGCGCTCCAGAGCATGGCGCGGTTGTGCGGGCTAGGCACGGTGGACTGCAGGTAGTGCTGTACGCCAGCCAGATCGTCCAAAGTTGCGGCCCGCGTCGTCAACTGCTGAAGGGTGGACTGCGCTGGTTGTGTCGGCACTGCGTCGGCAGTTGGGCTGCGAGTCCAGAAGCGTCGACAACCTGACCCCAACAGGATTTATCTACATTACTATTACACTACAATTGATGTGAGTGCCGTCCAATGCGGCTGCCCATTAGCATAGTGGGCAATGCGCTCAACGTACCGGATATGGAACAATGCTGCTGGCACTGATCAGTCACTGGGTATGGCTTGCCCTAGTGCGGGGTGACAAGCGTTCGGAGCGCTGCAGCGAAGCGTATGTTGTGCTGGAGCTGCCCGCCAGGCCCTGGCGGATGAGGTCCATGGTTGCGTCATCAACTGCTGAAGGGTGGACTGCGCTGGTTGTGCCGGCACCGCTTCGGCAGTTGGGCTGCAAGTCCAGGCGCGCTGACAACCGGACCCAGACAGGATTTATCTGCATTACTATTACACTGCAATTTATGTGAGTGCCGTCCAATGCGGCTGCCCATTAGCATAGTGGGCGATGTGCTCGAAGTACAGGATCTGGAACAATGCTGCCGGCACTGATCAGTCCCTGAGGTTGGCTTGCCCTGGCGCAGGGCGACAAGCGTTCGGAGTGCTGCGGCGAAGCGCATGCCATGCTGGAGCTGTCCGCCAGGCCCTGGCGGATGAGGTCCATGGTTGCGTCGTCAACTGCTGGAGGGTGGACTGCGCTGGTTGTGTCGGCACCACTTCGGCAGTTGGGATGCGAGTCCGGCAGCGCTGACAACCTGACCCAAACAGGATTTATCTGCATTACTATTACACTGCATTTGATGTGAGTGCCGTCCAATGCGGCTAGCCATTAGCACAGTGGGCAATGCACTCAAAGTACAGGATCTGGAACAATGCTGCCGGCACTGATCAGTCCCTGAGTGTGGCTTGCCCTGGCGCAGGGCGACAAGTGTTCGGAGCGCGGCAGCGAAGCGCATGTTATGCTGGAACTGGCCGCCAGGCCCTGGCGGATGAGGTTCATGGTTGTGTCGTCAACTGCTGGAGGGTGGACTGTGCAGGGTGTGTCAGCACTGCGTCGGTAGATGGGCTGAGAGTCCGGAAGCGCTGTACTCGAAGACGAGTAAGAGACTTAGCAGGATCATTGCAGAGTCGCCGTTGGGCTGAGAGTCCACATCAGCCGGTCTGTTGAACGGAAGGGGGAGGATCTACGGCCAAATGGTGGTGCCTTATCTACATGGTACGAACCTTCCAAAAAATGCCAAGCCGGGGCCAGACATGAGGGGAAACAGACCAAAGCCGCCAGGCATACTTCGTGTCAGCTTTAGAGAGGAGAGCTCAGCATCAGGGACCTAAATTTCCGAGCCATCTTCAAGATTATGGGCTGGTGCGAAAACAGCTCCGGGGGCCCTGGAGGGGTGTGCTGCTGCGTCAGTCGCACAATACGTGCTCCAAGCGTCGCGAACCTCCTCCCGACTAAAGTCTCCCAGGCCAGGGATGGGGCTGCAGTTGCCTCGGCTAGGTTCTGCTCCGCTGCCGGAGCGGCCAAGTCCTCGCGTACAGTAGTCTGGAGCCAACTTCAACTCGAGCAGGCGAGTCCGCGGAGTAGGTTTTGTTCCTGTCGGGTCTAAATAATTGCGGGATGCCAGTGCGTTTCGCAGCTCAGCAGAGCGCATTTTGGCTGGACATCGCTCACTGACAGAGACATGGTTGATCGGATATTGATCAGAAACTGGCCGCGATTGTCAAACAATTTGACCGTCAAGGCAGCAAAGCAAAGAGCGTTATGGCTGGACATCGCTCTCTGACAGAGACATGGTTGATCGGATATTGATCAGAAACTGGCCGCGATTGTCAAACAATTTGACCGTCACTGCGTCAGCGCAGCAAAGCAAACGGAGCGTTTTGGCTGGACATCGCTCACTGTCAGAGACCTGGTTGATCGGATATTGATCAGAAACTGGCCGCGATAGTCAAACAATTTGACCGTCAGCACAGCAAAGCGAAGAGCAAGCTCAAGCTCAAAAACTGGCCAAGGTTGTCAAGCGATCTGACTGTTGGCGCAGCAAGGATGAAGAAGAAGCAGCATCGAGAGCCGGAGTAATGCGCATGCTCCGCGTGGTCCCGTGCCGGGGCGCGGGAGTTCGGAGTGCGTGTTCTGCACGGGCACGTGATGCGCTATGGCAAGTACGTGCAAATTATGTTAGGAATGTAATTGTTGGTGGGTTGCTAACTTCACTTACCGTGCCATGCACGGAAACTTATATTTAGGGAACATCAAAGCCTGGTATTTCTCCTCATACTCCTTCCCATCTCGTCTCCAGTTGTGTTCATCACCTGTACCAACTGGCCCCCACCACCATGACTGCTGCATGTTCCCTTTGCGTGCACCACATGGCTTTTAGTAAAAATAAATAAAAAGCACCAAGCCTTTGGCATTACTCTTGAACTGGTAAGCACCATATTGCGTCATGAACCTGGTGAGTTTGGTGGTACTGTCGTCATCATGGGGAACCGTCAGGCGAAATAGCACGTCATAGTACATTTGAGATCAGCGGGAAGAAGATGACGACGTCCACTAATTTCGTATCTGTGCACACGAATCTGCTGTGTGTGTGACTCTGTGTGTCAGCTATGATATCATCTTCTGTGGTTCCATGCCTAGCATGTACGTCTGAACCATCCTGCAAAGTTTGAATGACGTAGGTTGAGCGATCGCTCCGCGAAACATACTTTTTGAAATTCTCTTCATAGTATATCTTCCACCATTGAAATTTTGAATTTCTTCGAATTTTTTGCTGAGAGGGGTGGCTTGCAACCTCGATATGGCTTGTTCCAGGCATGCTTTGGAGCCATCTTCTGTTGAAGTAGTGGCGGGGATCTGCCCTGCAACTGCTACAACAAAAAATGATTCGATCTGAGAAAGGGTGAGACCGCGAATTGGATTAGGATATTTGATTGGAGTTTGTTTTGGACAAGAACTGAAACTAGCACCAATGTCGTCTTGTCTGTCCGAACCCAACAAAGTGCCGGATTAGAGAGGGACGACTGCAGCCCCATTCTAACGCCTAAAGCTAGGAATGAGCCCTACTTAGTCATCTCATCAAACCAAACTCGTGGAAGTAACTGTAGGAACTGCATGCCACGATACTAGAATACACTCTCAGTCTCACAGCTATCATAGAAAACACATTCTTGCTCATCAGTCTCTCAAACAACAACAACAACAACAACAACAACAACATCGTCACGTGCACATGCGTAAAATGCCGCATGCACACACTGACTCAGAACATAGTACAGTACTACATTACCCCTTCCCCAAGGGAAAAAAAGAAAAAAAAAAAGAAGAAGAAAGAAGTTGGATGGGGAAGAGGCACCACAAAAAAACATACGAGGAATTATGGGTGTCAATAAAAAGTGAAAAGTAGCATGACGAAAGGAACAAACACGAACGGATTCCCACGTGTGTAAGGCAGGTTCCGATATACGATGGTTTGATCACAAGAGTTCTCGTTTAGAGGGATAGTCCTGGCATGAGGTATTCAAGAAATGGCTTACAAATTGAGCCTATCTGGGGCCGCAATGGTGCGCTCTGATCGCCGGAGGCTAACTGGGGGCGTGGGAGCCGATTGTGCAGATGAGGGATGTCCAGCTAGAGGCACCAATGGCCTCGTCGACTGAGCCACCGACGGGGACGACGCATGGGGCTCTGCTTGTTCAGCTGGAGCGGCAGGCGGTGAAACCACGGCTTGGTTGGACGGTTGGACATCGGGAGATTCCAGTCCCGTGCTGGTGGAGGGGGTTGCCACGGTCGAACGTGTTGCCGATTGCGAAAAGCAACACGTGCACCATCAGAGACTATTACAGAGCAACCTCGTCGTTCAACAACTTTCCATCTCCGTTGCTGGGCTGTGTGGCCATCCTGCAAGAGCACCGAAGAGCCTGGCGAGAGGGATGGGAGGGGTTTCACGCCCCGGTGCTGGTCGTGCTGTACTGCCATGCCGAGTTTCTGTGACAACTGGGTGTCAAGGTGGACGAGGGGGGCATTGACAAGGCTGGGCACACGAGTTCGGATGTGGCGAGCAAAGAAAGCGTGTGCTGGAGTGGTACCAAGCATCCGGTGAGTGGAGGTGCGAATTGAGAAAAGCACCTGCTGGATACGCTGGATAAACGGCATCTGGCTGTTGAGAGTCCCGAATCTCGCACGAACGGTGCGGTGAAATCTTTCCACCATGCCATTTGATTGTGGATAGCGTGGGCTGGCCCGGATGTGATGAACTCCCAGGCATTGGAGGAACTCACCCATTTCGGTGGACACAAATTGTGGGCCATTGTCAATGACGAGCTCGAGCGGATTACCGAACCTGGCGAAGATAGTGGACAAAGCCATCACGACATGTTGGGACTTGGTTCCAGGCAGGACAATCAGCTCCGGGAAACGAGACCCGTAGTCGACCAACGAGAGCAGGTGGCAGCCTTCGATCTCCACCAAATCAACTGCCACCTTGTGCCACACTGGAACAAGCTCCGTTGGCTGCAGCTCTTGGCTGTGGTTGATGCGGCTCCGCCAACAAATGTCGCATGCTGCTGCAAACTGCTCAGCATCCCGTGTCATACGAGGCCGCCAAACAGAACGGCGAAAGGTGTCTTTGAATGTAGCGCTGCCTGGGTGCCCCTCATGAGCTAGCTTCAAAACCGGCTGTTGAAAAGCCGATGGGATAACAACTCGGCTGTCCAGAAGAAGAATGCCATTTGCGACGGTCAGCTGACTTCGCATCATGAAGAATGGTTCCTCAGCAGGCAAGACATCCCGCCATGCACCGGTGAGGACCCGGCGGACTATTGCGGCCAATAATGGATCGTCAGCAGTAGCAGCCTCGAGATCGGCTTCACAAACTGGCGCTTCTGACAAGACCATGCCGACGAATTCGTGCATGGATCTATCCTCCTCTGGTGACGCCTCTGCAGATGCTAGGGAGGGCACGGCAAAGCGTCGGTAGCACACATGGTCTGGCCAGGTGTGAAGCTGAGCTGGTAGTCAAAGGGCAGCAGAGCCAATAGCCATCGTTGAAGACGTGGCGGAACTTCATCAAACAACTTCTTTACAATGTGAACCAACGGCTTGTGATCAGTCAAAACGTCTACGGTGCGACCAAGGGCATATTGTCGGAACTTGGTTAGGCCGAAAACCACAGCCAGCATTTCACGTTCCAGCTGGGAATAGCGTGCTTCCGTGGGATTGAGCGAACGACTGGCACAACAGACAGGCTGCCAGTCACCTGTGTCTGCTTTCTGCCAAAGAATAGCGCCGAGGCCCACGGGTGAAGCATCGCAACTAATGGCGGTGGGACGACTGGGCGAGGCATCGAAGAATGCCAATCTGGTCAGTAGCTTGGCAGCGTTGTCTTGACACTGTTTGAATGCCTGAAGAAGTTCCTTGTCTACGAGGAAAGGCTCACGTCGAGATAACTGGCGAACCGGCTCTGTGTGCTCAGCCAGACCTGGGAGGAATTTGACCAAGTAGGTTAGCATTCTGATCATTCGGCGTACATCCTTGAGGCGAACCGGTGCTGCCATGTTGCGGATCGCTTCGGCCTTTGCCGAGTCGTGCTGGATTCCAGATTTGTCCATCACACATCCAAGATACCGGACCAACTGTTGACAGACTTGAGACTTTGACCAATTCAATCGGAGGTTGACAGCATTGAGTCGCTCAAGGACCAGTTTGAGGCGTCGATCGTGCTCGTCTCTGACCTTACCAACGATAAGGATGTCATCGATGTAAACGAATACACCCTCCAAACCATCCAACACATCCGACAAGATTTGCTGGAAGGAGGTCTCAGGCGCCGATGCGATGCCAAACAGAAGTCGCTTGAATCGATAGAGGCCCTTGTGGGTGCTGAAGGTCGTTAGCGGCCGGGACTGCTCATCCAAATCGATCTGATGAAATCCGGCTTCAGCATCCAACACGGAGAACACTGTCAAGCCATGGATTTGCCCCGTAATCTCATCCAGGGTAGGGATGGCTCTGCGTTCACGAACGACATGCTGGTTCAACTGGCGGAAGTCGACGCAAAGGCGTAGTGTGCCGTTGGATTTGCGAGCAGACACGATGGGAGAAACCCACTCTGTTGCCTCTTTGACAGGCTCGATTATGTCCGCTTTACATAGACGCTCCAATTCGGCTGGAATGTCGTCTCGAATTGAGAATGCTGGGCGACGAAATGGCACTGCTGAAGGGGTTTCATCTGGATTGACACGGATGTTGGCAGGTGCTGCGTTGACAACGTTTGCTGTGTCCGTCTCCACCATCTGCAGCAAGCCTAGCTGGAAAATGATGTCCTGGCCGAACAGTGCCAGTTTCCCCTCGGGGACCACAAAGCAACGGCATGCTGTTTGACGTGAGTTCCCCGCCACAGTGATGTCCGCCATTCCGAGAGTGGGGACCTCCGAGCCATTGTACGCACAGAGACGACGGTCGCAAGCACTGTCTGGCGTGACCACGTCGGCGGGGCAGATGGTGCGCGTTGCACCCGTGTCTAGCAATCCTGACACCGGCTTGCCATTCACAGACAGGGTAATCAGGAACCGCTCATCATGGGCTGACTTGCGGAGTGGCTTCGTCAGGTATATCAAGTCGTCCGTTGCGCACATGTTGGCTGACTCTTGCTCCCTGCACGCATTCACCTGGCCAGGTCGGCTCCCATCCTGACGACGACCACGCCGTGACAAACACACCTTGGAGAAATGTCCCATCTTTCCGCAGTTGTTGCATTTCTTTTCAGCTGCCGGACAGTGGGCCATTCCGGGAGTATGCTGCTCCCCACAATATTAGCAGTTGACTGGTGATGAACGTGAGTGAGTGCTAACACGATTGACGGACGCACCAGTGGGAATGGAGTCCTCCATGGAGCGAAACCCAAACTTCCCTGGCTGGTCGTAGAGCTTGGACTCTGAATAAGAGAGTTCCATGCTGACTCCTTTACGGATGGCAGTCCCCAACGTAAGGTTTGGATCTGCCAACAGCTCCCGATGAATTTCAATATTGGCCAAACCAGCGATAAACTGGTCACGAAACTGCGAGTCTACAATGGAATCATTGGTGGTAGAATCGAACTCGCACGCCTCGGCAGTGGTCCTCAGGCCGGCGGCAAACGCGGTGAGGGACTCCGCAGGCTGCAGTTTCCTCATGCGGAACTTATGGCTTTCCACGCTGGTGTTGACTGCAGGGCGGAAATACGATTTGAGGCCTTCACGGAGAACAGTGTACTCGGTGTCAGACCCGCTCGGAGTCGGAAGAGACAGGGCCTTTCACGATCCGGCGCACCCCTAATCCGGCGAGAATGGTAAGGAGTTGCGCCTTGGTTGAGGCCTCCGTCACCTTCTGTAAAGCAAGATAGGCTTCGAAATCATCAAGCCAAATTTGAAATTCGGCAGAAATGTTGGAACTATCTCCATAGTCGTCAGCAAGACGAAAAGGTTGCGGTGCGCGGCCAAGACTTGTCGCCATGGCTGGCTAGGGGTCAGATCACAGTGTTCACTGCACCAATGTAGGAACTGCGTCCCGCGATACTAGAATACACTCTCAGTCTCACAGCTATCATAGAAAACACATTCTTGCTCATCAGTCTCTCAAACAACAACAACAACAACAACAACAACAACAACAACAACAACAACATCGTCACGCGCGCATGCGTAAAATCCCGCATGCACACACTGACTCAGAACATTGTACATTACTACAGTAACTTCTAAGTGGAAGCTGGCACACATCGTATAGACAGGCTTGGTTTTTGACGTGCCTGTTGACTTGCAAATTTACGACTGCTCTTTCAAAACTCTCCTATGTATGTGCCTGTTCTCTGCAACTATACGTGTGGCACTGACGGCAGGGGAAAAAACGTTCAATCAATGTGTGCGGCGTAGGCTCACATGGCTGACACCTAACCCGGTGTGCGTACTGTGCATCCTGGATTAACAGTTGGCTTAACATGCATCCCTCTCGTATATGTGCAGCTATTATGCGGGTGCCACTACCGGAAAGTGCCGTTGCTATAGCTGGAGGATTCGACGCGTTCAGGATCATAACATCAATCTACAACGACCCTGGGACGCCTCCTGTCGACCGAATCACTCCGCTCACATCGGCAAGCTCCTTTCCTTACAACATCACGATCCTTGGCGCTGCTGCGCCTCAATGGCTAGTCACCATCAGGGTAGATGCACGCGACAAGTCTGGCTTCTGGAAAACTCTGTCCATTGAAAGGAGAACACACTATACACCAGGTAAGAAGCGGTTTTTTAGTCTTCGGGGCAAGGGTTTGCAAGCTGGAATGTCACGTGGGCTCCCCAGTAGCAAAATCTCACTGCCTCGTGTGCTGTGCATAGCCAGCGCAAGTATGCTGTGCATTATGTATGACGGAGGTCAATTGATATGTAGTCTTGAAGTTCCACCATGGCCGTTTGTCCACGACTGTAGTTTGTTTTAAACCATTGGACTTGTATGTTTCAACTCGGGTTTGGCTTTGTGGTAAAATACTTTGTTTGATAGTAGAATGGTGTGAAGACTCACATGCAATACCATGCAATTTTTATATAGTAAAGAAAAGGACCCAGGAACTACAAGTTACGCTATAATGTCCAGTTTATTGTCCACTAACACCACCAGTTACTTGATAATCAGCTTATGGGATAACATTGCACAAAAACTGACTGACAGTACTGACGTTCTACAACTAACTGGTTATCAGCTCTAGCATGTCTTGGATGCGCACACCAACAGCCTTCCAGCCGGGAAGGTTCTAAGTTATGTGGAAACATAGGAGGGGAAGGTGAGCACAACCAAGACAAACACAAGCTGAAAGTCTCAGCTGTGAAAGACGTTGGCGGATGTCCATGCATGTCGATGACGATACTGGCGAGATCATTAGACAATGCAGTCAAACAACGATTCAAGGACACATAGCGACATACCACACAGCTTGCGCGGCTCTAAAGATGCAAAGATCAAATGAAGGGGAAACTAAGCGAACATGAGCCATGAAAAACCGAACTCCTCAGGTAAACAGTACTGTACTTCGACTATGACAATTTAGATGGACAATAGGCAGCAGTAACAAGCAGCAGTTTCACACGACGATCGTTTCGCCGTGTAGATAAGGACGGCTCATCAGGTGCGCAAGGATAGACTTGGATGGAAAGCCAATGATGAATTTATAGTAAAGAAAAGGACCAAGGAACTACAAGTCCCGCTATTGTTCTCAACTTTTTTCGCCTGTTCCCAGCCCCGTGCCATCTCCACACTCAGACAATAGACGACGAGAACTTAGAACCTTCCAAGTTGGAAGGCCGTTGGAGTGCCCACCCTAGACGATGACTGTCAAGTAACTGGTGGTGTTAGTGGACATTGTAGCGTAACTTGTAGTTCCTTGGTTCTTTTCTTTACTATAAATTAATAATCATTGGCTCTCCATCCGAGTCAATTTTTATATAGAAGAGATACGGCGGTGAAGACACACCTGCCCACACAACGCTCTCTAAGCTGCAAATTTCTGGCAAAGACCTCTCCTTCTCTCTCTGACGTCATCAGTTCGTGCATGGCGCCTAGTGGATGCATGGCTGGTGATATCCACATACAGGTGGAATCCTGATAATTCGAAAATGGCTTAATTCAAACATACCGCTTGATGAGGAGTTTCCTCCAGAAGCGATTTCAGTCAACACATTTAGGCACAACAATATTTGATCACTCGAACCTCAAACTGGGCATGTCCGGTTCACTAGAAGTTCAATGAAATCCACATAGGGAAAACTGTGGGATTCCTTGCTGATATTTCGAAGTTAGCAAGGTGTAATTCAGAGTTAGCAAGGTGTAATTCAGAGTTATCAAGGTGTAATTCAGAGTTAGCAAGGTGTAATTCAGAGTTAGGAAGGTGTAATTCAGAGTTAGCAAGGTGTAATTCAGAGTTAGCAAGGTGTAATTCAGAGTTATCAAGGTGTAATTCAGAGTTAGCAAGGTGTTGTTCAGAGTTAGCAAGGTGTAATTCAGAGTTATCAAGGTGTAATTCAGAGTTAGCAAGGTGTAATTCAGAGTTAGCAAGGTGTAATTCAGAGTTAGCAAGGTGTAATTCAGAGTTAGCAAGGTGTAATTCAGAGTTAGCAAGGTGTTGTTCAGAGTTAGCAAGGTGTAATTCAGAGTTAGCAAGGCATAAGTCGAACTTCACTCGTGACTGTGCACTGTACTTGTCAGTTCAGAGTGCATGAGCAAGCCGTACTGGCCAGTTCGGTGTCCACGAAATCTGTGTCCAATTTTCATAGCGCAACTCTGCAGGACAATGCGAGCATTTCCCCGTACATAGTGTGTGTTGCACAGGTCCACATAGCCTTTCAATGGCCCTTGCAATGACCACCACCGCACTGTGTGAGAAAAGCAAATGTTTGCATTGTTCTGGCCTGCAGCTTATCTCCCAACCTTCCCGGTGTGGCCGAATGGCGTGCAGTCAATAGTCGCAGTCAACACAACGTTCAACAGCACTCAGTTCAACATCTCCCTTCCCAGTGCCCAGCCAGCAGACATCGCTCAATACCCAAACCTAGCCATCGAGGGCAGGATTGAAGGCAGTGGTGATGGGTATGAGCTATATCAAGTCCTGCCAACAGATCCGTCCGACCGGCCGTCATTTGTCGTTCTTGATCGCCTGTTCACGCGTAATTCCTACGAAATACGCATACGTGGCAAAGCTCATGTGTACTCCTACACCACATATAGCGAGCCAGTGGTAATCACATTCCCACTTAGTAAGTATGATTGCATGTGATGGACAGCCGTGTCTTGTGTGACTCACTGCTACACTACAGCCTTGCATTCTATAAGTACCGCAGTGTGGAACTCACGGAGGTTTGCCTATAGGAAGCCAAGGCAGGCGTCAGTGGATTCTTTCCCTAGAAAGGGAATAGATTCCAAAGAGGGCATGCCGTATTTTCTCTAATAAAAGCCCAGGTCTCCAATAATAGCCCAGTCTCCAATAATGACCCGGGGTGAGGGTGGATTGAAATAATAAGAGCACAGTCTCTAATAGTAGCGCGGGTCACAATTGGAGTATGCAACAAGTATATTGACTGCATATAAAACAGCAGTACAACATGCCAAGAACATATTTGTAAGGAGGTTTTCAGTCAACTGCTTCCTTCCTGGCGCCAATGCTATTGTGAAACATCTGTTTTGACAACATTCCTGAGTTTAGGGTTGAAAAATCAGTCTTGATATGGTCAGTTTATGCTGTATACCGTAATGTCGCGTGCATTAGCCGGGGCTTATATGCCTATAAGCCGGTGATGGAGTCAGGCTTGTACACAAGACAGGCTTATACACGAGACAGGCTTATATGACTTATATTTTCTTGCCGTTTCCATCGCCGCACCATACTCTCGTCGATGCTGTGCTTTCTAGAAGCAGCAGTGACAGAAGTCGATTTTGCAGCTTTCACTACCGCCAGCTTGAATGTCGCTGAGTATTTTTTCCGAAGTCCTTTTGTTTTCGGCATTTCGACAAGCAGACTTGGTTGAGATGAGTTCTATCTACGGGTAGACTGCAACAAACACAAGTGAAAAGTTCGAGGAGCGCCGAAACAACTTCAAACAAGCAACTTGCCAAGGGACAAGACGGAAAATGCCATGGGAAAGGTAAGTTTGAAGCTTGAAGAGTGCTGCATGGCCGTCGAGCGCAGCTGGTGTTGATTTCCGCATCTTCCCACGTTTTCCGCGTGTGCAAGTGTACGGTACCATGCAAACATGAACATGTAAAAGGCGCGCTCACCAGTCTTGCGTAGTAGCCCGGCTTACGCACGCGACACGTGGCGCGTCTCGTGTACTGGCCCGGCTTATGCATGCGACAGGCTTGTACGCGAAAAGCTGTTGCAGATTTCATGCTTCTACACGAGACAGGCTTATGCACAAATCCGGCTTATGCACGCGACATTACGGTAGACTGGAGTTGGCTCAGAGATAGTTGACAATTGAAAAAATAAGAGCCCAGTCTCCAATAATAACCCAGTCTCTAATAGTATTATAGTAGCGCGGGTAGAGCTGTCACTGAAAAATAAGAACCCCGGGCTCTTATTAGAGAAAGTACGGTATCTATAATAGAAATCAGTAGTTCCACTTTGGCTAACCTGTGGCCTTTGCTCAAGTCAGATAGACGGTGAATACCTGAGCATCTCAGTGCTGACACGCCTACTAAGCACAGCAGTAAGCAGCCAGCCTTGATCCTTGAACCTTGATGTGTCTTACCAGCAGTTAGACCACTGGGTTCAACTTCTGCATTTGCTTGCCATCCTTGACCAGCTCCAAGGATCACATGATGGCTAGAGGTCATTTGAGGATATCTTGCTTAAAGGGGAAGTTAAGCCTAAAATCAAATTTTCACCAGTTGTAGTCTTCGGGGTGCTGAGTTGAATGGTCTTGGTCCGTGGAAGCTGAGACGCTCCCCTCCTCCTTTATTCCCAATCGAACTCGCGCACTTCCGCCGAAACTGGGTGACTGTGCCCTACTAGATGGGGATTTGTATGCAAAATGTCATTAGCATCCCCCCACCTCGCAACAGGTCATCAGTAGGTTGGGTTACGCCGGGAGTGCTGATACGAGCAACTGGTTAAAGTATCGAAGCAAGCGTATAATGGCCCTGCTTGGAGCCGCTAGGTGGCTCGCAGCTGAGCCGCCAAATGACTCCGCATGGAGCCGCCAAATGACTCCGCATGGAGCCGCCGAATGACTCCGCATGGAGCCGGCAAATGACTCCGCATGGAGCCGCCAAATGACTCCGCATGGAGCCGCCAAATGACTCCGCATGGAGCCGCCAAATGACTCCGCATGGAGCCGCCAAATGCTAAATATATAGGTACAGTCGAATGTCACTTATCCGACCACTTCGGGAATCAGGCATGTTGGATAACTGATATCATTTTTTATGTGCATATATGGCTGGATTTCACTGATTTATGTACACAATACCCAAATATATTCATGCATATTCATGAATTGCTCCATATACACATACATGTTAGTATACTTGACCACATTTACTTCAAGTAAATGCATATTACACCGTATAATATACAAACAATTTTTTTTAGAATTTTACTGTTGAGAGTCATAAAATTACCACTCCCGGGCTTGTCGGATAACCGACGTGCTCGGATAACTGGCGACCGGATAAGTGACATTCGACTGTATGCGGAAAACCAGTTGAGAGCATATATTCACGTATGAGCCCAAAACGTGAGTTGAGACAGAGGGTGGGAGGGTGGGAACAAAAACGTTCTGCGAGTTACAAGCTCGAAAGTGAACAACAGCAATGATCCTGCAAGAGACCTTGCACAGGATCTTTTAGGGCGCACGCATGAGTGGTTTGCGCAAGCGCGCAAATCGGGCCAGCTCGCTGGGCTGGCTGCTAACTTGCGTTAGCATGCTAACGCTCATCTAAAAGCGCCGTTTCGTTCTTAGAAAAGCACAGATGACCGCGATTGGCCCATATGCTGTAGTCTTTTGGACGCTGAGTCGACTGGTTTTGGTCCGAAAAGGCTGCAATGCAGCTTTCGGCCCTTATTCCCAATCGAGCATGGCTGAACAAGCGGTCACTTGCTCGTGCGTACACCAGTCACCTGGTCACCGCGCCAGCAGGTGACAATTTTCACACCAAGGTTCAACTCAAAGGTTCAACTCGAGTGACAGAAACTCGCTCAAACATGCTGTAAGTTGTAGCCGGCAGGCACGGTGACCAGGTGACTGGTCAGCCATGTTCGATTGGGAATAAGGGCCGAACGCTACATCGCAGCCTTTTCGGACCAAAACCAGTCGACTCAGCGTCCAAAAGACTTCAACATATGGGCCAATCGCGGGCATCCGTGCTTTTATAAGAACGAAATGGCGCTTTTAGTGACATTCTGCATACAAATCCCCATCTAGTAGGGCACAGTCACCCAGTTTTGGTGGAAGTGCGCGAGTTCGATTGGGAATAAAGGAGGAAGGGAGCATCTCAGCTTCCTCGAACCAAAACCATTCGACTCAGCACCCCGAAGACTACAACTGGTGAAAATTTGATTTCAGGCTTAACTTCCCCTTTAATCTACCATGTTGATCCTGGCCTTGCAACATGTTGCCAGCCGCAGCAGCAGCAGCAATAAAGCAGCAGTAGCAGTGTCTGCTCTAGGATTGTAGGACAGCCGGGTACACGTGTACCTGGCGCAGCCATTTCAACCGGGTCGGAACCGGGTGCACATGCTTCCCCTTTAATCTACCATGTTGATCCTGGCCTTGCAACATGTTGCCAGCCGCAGCAGCAGCAATAAAGGAGCAGTAGCAGTGTCTGCTCTAGGATTGTAGCCATTTCAACCGGGTCAGAGCCGGGTGCACATGTACCTGGCGCTGTCTCACCAGCCGAGTCACATGCTTTAACTGGTTGGTTGGTTTATTTTAATTCGGACAATAAACGGGAACTAGGCCCAATGATATAAAGGCGAATGGATAAGCCGCATTTAGAAAAGAGAGGACAGGAATTAGAAAATTACGAAAGAAGAAGTATCTGACACATACAAGCCATGTAGTCAGTCCTTTCAAAGTTCGAAAGTGTAAAGTACCAACTGGGTCACAGGTGACCCGGTACTATGTTTTCAACCGGGTCCAAGCACCGCCCAACTGGGTGGATTACCCGGCTCACCCGGCGCTGGAGCAGACACTGAGTAGTGTAAAGGTTGGCCAGATTGACGTCATACTTACTATCAGTTTTGAAGTTTCGGAGTGACTCTATCGGTATAAATAAGTCAGCTTGACCCATCCACAGGGCCTGTACGGTCAGGATGGGCAGAAGGAAGAAAAGCCGGGACTATGAGAAGGACGAAGAGAAAAGAGAAACAGCGTTACTTGGAAGAGCCGATCTGTCACGTGGCACCAGTACTATTCCGTCAACCATGATTAGTAATTGGTGACCTGCACGGTGTCGCTGTTTAGTGCCGTGTTCTGCTGGGGTCTGCTGTGTGAATTGTTATACCAATGCACAGTAGTATGTCCATGACTGCTTTACACCGGAAGTAGCTGCATGAAAATGTGTACAATCAATCCTCTGTTATCCGGACACCGAAGTTACGGGCACTTCCGTCTACCAGGCACCCTTCGAGCGAGTTTCAGTGGAAATATTGCTACCGTATTTTACCAGTTATAGGTAGACCCCCAGAATCAGTAGGTCTATTTTCTGTTTTTAAAGTTTCCACCCAACCAAGCACTGCTAATTATTCCCTGCTACTTGCACATCAACAAATCACATAACCACTCCTCATTGGACGGTGAAACGTACAAATCCTTGAAAAAAAGCAAATAAACTGGCAAAAATGCGTACACATGGTGCACTCGTACATGCAGTACAGGTGGCTTTTTGGAAGTTACCGGTATTGCCCGGCTATAAGTCGAACCCCGGTTGTAAGTCGACCCCTTTGACCTTTTCTCCTTCGATGTTTATTCGTTAACGGTCGACTTGTAACCGGTAAAATACGGTGCCCCTTTGTCACTTTTGTGGAAATAGTGACGTCACACGCCATATCTATGGCCTTTCCCCATCAAATTGTGCGTGATTCTGAGTCGCGGACATTTCAAAGTTGCGGGCAGCGCCCTGTCGCAGACCGCCCGGATAAACGAGATATGAGTGTACCACTGTTGGTCCAGACTAGTTTGGGGTACAGTGGAAAAACTGCAGGAGTGATGGGTTCTTCCTTTAACCAGACCGGTATGTGTTTCAGTTTCAGTTTGTTTATTTACGGATTCTCCAGAGGTAAATGGATACCTATCATGGGAGTCTCACCAAACCAATAAAATAATGAAAATAAAAATATTTATATTGGCCAAGTCCCACTGAACATGTAATAGTCGCCTGATGGTTGCTTTGAGCAAGAAACTCTGAGTTGCGACAAACCTGTAAACCTCCGTTGTGCCTTTTGTGTGAAAATAAAATTATGTATGGAGTGCAAAAACTCAAAATCAGAGATTTTTTAAGTCAAGTATGCGCGACACTTTGTTGACACTGGCACGAAGAGTTCACCAGCTACACTCCACGATAGACAGCAGTTGCTCCTGACAAGTCTTGCTTTGTTCCATAAGATGACGGAAGCTCATCGCAGGAGAAGCAGCTGTTGAATAAAAGGGTTGAGCTAAATAATGCTGTTTCATGCATAAAATGCTGGCCCAATGTGTGCCCACTCCGCTCACGTGTATACTAACACAAGTGACAAATCGTCACAAAAGGAATAGAGCAGAATGAAGGTGTTGTGAACCCTACCAGACACAACTATCGCAAGTGCTAAGCCAATCACGACAAGAAAGAAAGGTTCACAAATAGGTTGAAATCTAAGTTACACGTCACAACGAGTACTGGTCTGGTGAAAAAGATGGATGCAAAGCAGAAGCGAATTGACAGAATCATACTGGACACCCAACGTCACAGCTGAAAACTGCTAACTACACCAGACAAGTGCTTTGCGAACCTCGCAAGTGGCTGCGTTCGATTACGCACTTGAATCGATTCATGAATCCATTCGCATGCATTCAAGGCGTTCGATTTTCATGTCATGAGCCCTGGAATCAATTCGGAATCCATTCACTCCATTCACATGGTGTTATATATGTACTCATGTGTACTGTACATAGTAGTAATATGCCTACTTCTGTAGCACTAGCATGATCACACTGCGCATGCTCTTGTTCATGGCTTTTTCCCCAATCTACTTGTGCTAGCTGGATGCTTGTGTGCATGGGGATCAGGACACAACAAATGGCGACGAAGATGTGATGTGAATAGCGCGAATCGATTCATGAATCGATTCTCGTGCATAATCGAACGCACTCACTGATTCAGCCGACAGTAGGTAAAAGAAAGGCTACCAGGTCGTGATGTAGTGGTGAACTGTGCTCTACCAAAGTGACGTACCCAGCAAGGTGGGTGCTGTCACGCTATAATCTTTGCAGCAGATCATACCCTTCTTCCAAATCACTCCAGTTCTCTTTCGGTGAGGTGTAGTTTAAAGTGCAACCTATTATGTGAACCTCTCTTTCTCCTCATGACTTAGCACTTTTTGACTGTGTCTGGCAGGGTTGATAAAACACCTCCATTCTACACTGTTCCTTGTTGCGTTGGCTTACTAACTTGTGTTAGTTGAGTGTATATACCTCGTGCCGGCATACTCAGTATAAAGCAGTTTTGCTCAACTCTTTCGTTCAAGACCTGCTTCTCGTCTGACGAGTTTCCGTCATCTTATGGAACGAAACAAGACTTGTCACGGGAAACTACTTGCTACCGCGGAGTATGGCTGGTGAACTGTTTGGGCTTGTGTCGACAAAGTGCCCATGTGGCCTCATCTGGACAAATGAAGATCCTTTTGCGACTATGAATGGACGGACCAAATGAAGATGGCATCAACGAATTACAGTGAAGTGGGTTGACCAGTTGCACCAAATCTTGCAACAGAGTGTGTCCCGGGGTTGCGGCTGTATTCAGGCCATCGTGGGTCCAGTGCAGGTGGTTGAACGCTAGCCTGCACTCCGCATTCTCGGAAAGTGGTATGTCCCAAATATAGGCTATTGTGAAGCTCCTGATCATGGTTGCACTCAAGTGTATTCGAATTCTCATCCGCCTATGTAATGCTGTACATCCTGACGAAGAGAAACGCCTTTAGGAGTTGCATAACGATGATAGAGTACTTCTTTCCTAAAGCAGAGTACTTACTTATGCGAGGGTTCAGTTCAACCCACACACAAGGCACTCACTAACATGTATGATAGCCCCCCCCCCCCCCCCCCCCCAGTTTGGTAGAAATGAAATGTGCCTTACTGGTACAGCAAGCATCCTGCAAACCATTTTCGTTTCAATTTGTCCACTGCAGTCACGTTCAAAGTTCCTCTGATAAAGCCAGACCCGGTTGCTGCGCAGTATGTAGTCGAAATCAGCAAGTTCAATCTATCCAGCTCGGCTTTCGACGTAGTTCTGCAGCGGGGCAACAACCAGGAGGAGGATTTCCCAGTTTCAATACCCAGCTCCTACGGCAGTGGGCAGTTCTGGGTGCATGTCTATCGTGTTGGACTGGCTGGCTTCTTGGAAACGATAAGTCTGGCTCATCAGCTGTATTCAGTTGCAGGTAAGACCCATTCTCAGTCACGGTCTGTGCAGTGTTTACAGAGCAATCAGATGATTCAGTATGTCAATGATATTGTCTATCCATATGTATTGTTGGTCATGGCTCCTCCAGGCATGTTTTAACGTCGGTGTTGTAGTCGCAAGTCTAACATTACTTCTCCATCACTGCATCAGCTCAACCGCCACCACTGGACTGCCTTTTTACACTCTTTTTATTAACGAATAAACAAGAACACGGAAAACGACTACATCTTGACAAGACGACAGACCAAAGACTAGCTCACACAGTTTCGCGCATGCGTACAACACCACCAACCAATGACGCGTGTCCACAGCGACCAAGACGAAACAAACACGTGACACCAAATCTACCACAATATCCCGACCAAAAAAACACATACCGTCCTCGGTATGACCAAATAAAACACAATACACAGAGAGAAGCAACCGCAAACAGCAAAAGTAGCCACAGGACCAATGCATGTAGCTCCCCAGAAAAAATCAGGGCAACCAAAGCCAGAAGAAAGAAAGAGAGGTGAATGTTAAAGAGAAGAGAAGAAACACAGCATTGCTGTCTAGCCACGCACACACAAAAAAACACAGGCTAAACCTAAGCCTAAAGACCGATGAGCCCTGCCCATCCACACAATATTGTGTACAACGCCAGCCAAACCCATGACTGTCACCGAAAAAAACAAAAATAAATAAAATATATACATGACAACGACAAACAAGCAGCGAGTCTAGCTCCCAGCAATGAACCGGGGCTCACCCTGATCGGACGTTCGTTGCCTTCGATGTGGACTGCCACAAGGAGAACCAACCGTGGTTCACCATGATCAGACGCCAGTTCCCAAGACAAGTAGCAATTCAAAAAAACTCCCGCATGTACGCACGCATGCACACACACAAACACTCACCGGAAAAACAAAGAAAAGAAGAGAGATATGGAGAGAAGAAAGGCGGCGCATTCCCAGCCAGCACATGACTTCTGAGGAGCAGGAAGCCGACGGCGAAGCTGATACTCCACTCGTATCAGGACGACGAAACGGCGGGAGCACAGCGACAACACAGCTCTGCGGAGGGCGTCAGCTTGAGTAGACGACTACGGGACACCGGACGACGACACAGTTGACACAAGCGGAAGACGACATTGCGCGACGACACAGCACGACGACACAGCTCCACGACGAACACGGACAGGGGTGACGAATAAACAAGGACAGTCCAGCAGTGACGGGAGCAACACTACGCGTACACATCTCAGGGTCGTGAGCTGCGGAGGCAGAACTCCGCGTCGAGAGATAGTTGGGCGCCAAATGTTGTAGTCCTAAGTCTAACATTACTTCTCCATCACTGCATCAGCTTAACCGCCACCACTGGACTGCCTTTTTACACTCTTTTTATTGACGAATAAACAAGAACACGGAAAACGACTACATCTTGACAAGACGACAGACCAAAGACTAGCTCACACAGTTTCGCGCATGCGTACAACACCACCAACCAATGACGCGTGTCCACAGCGACCAAGACGAAACAAACACGTGACACCAAATCTACCACATCGGTTTCCTCCGAAACGAGGACCATGAAAACACTATTCGTTTGGGGTTGTCAGCCGCTGGGCGGTTTGACAGCCAAATGAGTCATCTTTCCGAGATTTCTTCTGGATCTCTCTCCCCTCTCCCAAGGGAAGACCCGCATGGCCAGTTTATGGCAGTGAGCAAGTACATGCACAGTGCGTGGGCGTGTGCTTCCTTTTCGTACAACCAGGAGCCCGAAACGTAATGCACTATTTGAGGATACCCAAACGGGCGCTCGGATATGGCCCAAGGGAACATAAGACACCCGTGCATGTGTGAACATACAAGAACACACTGACCCAGTAACCACTGTGTATGCTTGTGTGCATATGTGTGCTTGGACCTAAACCAGATCCGCGACCGGTAGTGCCTTGGTCCAGCTCTACAACTGGAGAACTTCCTGGATATTCCGTGTCGGCAGGAGCAGGGTTTGTACTCCTGAATATGACCCTCCCAATGCTCCTCCAGCAACCTCCCTTGTCTCCTACAGGATTTATTACGGCCGATTGTTCGCCACTCCTTACTTCTAGCACACCTTTCGACGTTCGTTCTGGCTATTGGATTTACTTAGCCGTTTTTTCTGCAAGCTGCATGATCCGGGTGCGATACAGTTCGCCTACCGATGCTGCAACGCCATGGCGATGGGTGGACGCACGCTTACCTTCACGTAAGTGTTCTGCTGTCAGGGGTTGAAAGTGCCGTGTTTCACCGAATGTAAGCCGCACCTTTTTACACTAGAAAACTTCAAGGGTGAAGACGGGTTGCGACTTACTTCAGAACTACAACCCAGTGGGACTTCCCCTTTAAGGCCGATTCATACTTCATTTCGCGTACGGGAAAGTCACCGCGCGATGGTCGTGCGATGACTTTCCCGTACGGGAAATAGTTCAGCTCAGATCAACTTTTCGTGACGCGTTTCCCATACGCGAAATGAAGTATGAATCAGGCTTTACTGTTGTGTCTTCTACAAAAGCCTGTCTCGTATAGAAGCCTGTTTTGAATAGAATCCTGATTTTGAAGATAAACTTTCAGCACATAAGCCTGGTTTTAGTATTACCATACATAGAGCTATGTAGAGATATGTGGTTTGAATAGAAGCCTGACTTGAATAGAAGCCTAGCACTGACATCGGCTTCTACAGGAATAAGCACTCAGTCTCGCTCCACATATACTGGCACACACAGAGACATAGACAGCAACAGCGACAACACACAATGTGAAGGGTACTGTAAAAACCATTATTCTAACGAGGCGCATATATGTTGGACTCAGTAGAGCGCCCAGCCCCTATATGATGTCCAACCCCTATATAGAGTCCATTGGTCCAAAATCCACTGTACAGAGTCCAAACTTGGAATCAACTGTGAGCTCAAAGTTTAGATGGACATCACTCCCTGTATAGAGTCCAGCCAATTGGCTTCACCCCTATATAGAGTCCATTGGTCCAAAATCAACTGTATGGAGTCCAAACTTTGAAATCAACCATCAGGAGTCTTTATGTGGACAACACTCCCTGTATAAAGTCCAGCCAATTAGGCATCCCCTAACCAGAGTTCGAAATTAGACATAGGATCTGCTGTAAGCAGTGAATATTAACCAGAAAACGGCCTCTCCCTTTAATCCTTTACATCATTCACTTCTCAAGATTAACGCACTCTCCACATACAGGCATGCACCCGGCTCAGAACACATTGTTTTCTGGTTGGCATATCAGGGATATTGGGCGGAGCAGCTGGCGTGCATGAGAAAGACAGGTCGGCCTGCTCTGCGCAGGAGCTGTGACCCGGTGCACACATAGTGTGTGTGTGTGAGAGAGAGAGAGACAGACAGGTCGGCCTGCTCTGCGCAGGAGCTGTGACCTGGAGCACACAGAGTGTGAACGAGAGACGGTCGGCCTGCCGTGGGCAGGAACTGCGACCGGTAGTGATTGAAATGAGCCAGCTGCGGAGATAGACTGCCCTCACCCGATATAAGTATATTGACAAGAGTTGTACTGACACTGTTATTGAGGAAATTATGGTGACAGTGACGGAGAGATAGTGATCCCCAGTTGAATGGGGTTGGGAGGGAAGGGGAAATTGACAACTGACGGACAAACCAGTGAACAGTCAAGTCGTCGGAAAGCAAAAGTGACAAAGGAGTCTCTCTTTTCTCCTTCTCTCTCTCTAAAGCAAGATTTGGAATGCACGCGTGGGAGAGTGGCGCGCGCTGCGCATGCGCATGTATAGCAATGACATCATAATCAGATGCATGATCATCAGACTAAGTATGAGTGGTAGATGTTCCACGTTCGTTAACAGGGCTTAGCGCACACGCTAAACCACCATAAAAAATAAGTATTGAGGCGCCACTGCAGCCATTTCATTACATGAACAACCCTACAAACACCATCCTCAAATCAAGTGGTCTCTTCGCAGACGCTGCAAAATTACAATAATTATCTCAATTATGTAGTGTTGCCAAATAATTGTGCACGCACACACACACATGCACACACCCACACAACGCCAAGAAAATGCCTAGAAAAAACCAAGAATCGAAAGAGAATATTGGAGAGCCAAGGATTAATTATTTCAGGGATGAATTTATCCGGTATCGCATCGCAGTTTGCTACGCAAAATCGATCTACTGCTTCTCAAAAAATGACAGTGACACGCAGAAAGCTGCGATACATACATGTGCATGTACAGGCTATTCATGCTTTTTGTAGCTTACGAGATTTTGCATAGGAAAAACTGCTATGCAAGAACATGGCAGTAAATTCATCCCTGTATTTGTTTTCAAATTATTGTGCGCGCGCACACACACACACACACACACACACACAAACTTATACAACGCCAAGAAAACACCAAGAAAAGAGTAGAGACACAATACACACGCAACTCCAACAGCCATGCAAACGTCCACCCATTTACACGTAAAGTCAAGAGGGATAACAAATAATTATACGAAACGAATGCATACGTGGGCGGAGGCACGCACGTTTACATACATGTAGTAGTGTAAGAGAGTAACATAGTGCAGTAGTCAGCATAATACTAGCACATGCTGAGAGTGCAATAGCAAGCTTCACCATTGCTCATGGCCATGCAAATGTTCAGCAGCACTCAGTTCCGCAAGCTTCTGAAGATCAGCACACCTGCAACAAATAGATAGCACAAGGATACGCTTATTACCGCAATGATGGATGGGAGCACACAACTACCAAGTTCTCAACGAATGTGATGCTCAATGAAAATTCATCCACACAAAGACCTGTGAACAGGTGACGGTGGGGACAATAATCTATTAGTAATACGAGGAATAAGATCGTTTGTGCACACTCAAGACGCACAGACACACCACCATACATGTAGCGTACACAGTGTTTCACTTCACTGCAACTAAATTGAAATGAGATGATTTAAACAATCTGTGCAGCGTTGCAGTCAGTCAGTCTTCCCCAAGATGGAAATGCAATGATTTGTTGTCACGAGGCAGTTTTACTGACACAATGTCATGTTTATGACATCAAAACGGTTACTTCATGGAATACGAGTACATGTATTAGCTTGAGAAGCTTTTTCTTGTCATCGGCATACAAGAAATCCTCCTACTACTACTACTACTAGTACACTGGCACTGCGTTTGTAGATCCCATTGTATTTGACATCATACTAGAGCCTAGTAGAGGAAGGGTGTCGTGGAGTTCACATAATTATCACAGGGATAAAAATACATTTCTCATGAAATAAAATAATAATTGATGATAGCTAGACGATCGTATACGATTGATGCAAAGTCCTTGCAGTCCTTGAGGACTATTACGAAGTGGTTGATTACTTTTAGGGCATTCATTCAAGCAACATCAAACAAACGCGATACGATCCTTGAAAATGGAAAAATTCAAGCATAACGACAGAACAGCAGACCAATCGAAACGAGTAAAAGCTTCCTTACCTCAGTCATCGTCCTGCCATGTAGTTGGACAGCCTTTTGACACGGTGGTACAAGCAGCTCTTGTCCAGTCAAACAGGGTATCCTTGTTTTTACAATTTCTGGAATCAGTCTCGAAGATTCATTGTAAGGAAAATATGTCTCTCTTGTCTCGAAGGAGAAAACTCAAAGAACAAAAGACAGTGAAGCAAACCGCCAGCAAATCAAGCTACCGTACGCTTTCCAACAGCGAAAGGCGATAGTGCGGGAAAACACGAAGATACAAGGAGAAGACTGTAAGCTCAGGTAAATGCGAGAGAGGAGTTGGTGATAATCAAGAATGGAGAAAGGAAGATCAAAAGAGAGAGAGAGATAGTGAGAGAGAGAGCGAGAGAACGAGGCTGTCTGGCGATCATATGCAATATCTCACACTCCCCCCAGTTGAGGCGATCAGAACCATGCATGCCTCAACTCATACGTGATATTGCAATCAGTGTAAGGTCACCCAGACAAACGAAGGAAAGAAAGAAACAAGGAAACTCAAATTAGACTGCTGCGGTGCACAAATAACTTAAAAGAGACTTGTGCATGATCCAGTAACAAGTTTAACCTAACTCATGATGGTGTCCAGCTTCACCTACACACGGCCAGCATCAATGAGGCGGTGTCGCAACTCTTGCGCACGCCGAGCTGCTGCACGCATCGGGCGAGCGGGGGCCGCCGAGGACGACTCCACACCAGCAACAGCTGGAGTAGCGGCAGACAACTGCTCTGCGCCGACATCATCAGCAGCAGTCTGGGCCCGGGAGCTAACCTCGACTGGGTAGAGACGCTGAATCGGGCGACGTAAGCGTGACGGACGACCATCATTGGCTGAGCACTTCACAGTAGCGCCGCGCACACTGCCATCACTGCTCGGCAGGAGCTCCTCAACTAGGCCGAGTCTCCACATACCTCGCTGCACGCCTTGCTCGTGGATGACAACGACGTCACCAACCCGGATGTCACTGCCACGACGAGCGTTCCCGGTGCGATGCGAGTTCCTCAGCTCCAGCAGGTACTCCGATGTCCAGCGCGACCAGAAGTGGTCAATCACAGACTTGACATAGACGAGGCGTTTCAATAGTGAGTCACGCTGTACTGTAGCCACCTCTGTATCTTCCGGGTCCACCATGGGCGTGGACAGTATGCGCCGACCGTACATCAGATGTGACGGCGTAAGCGGCTCATCCAGATCTTCGGTTGACACAAACGATAATGGGCGACTGTTCAAGACCGCTTCTATCTCGATGAGCACGGTCAGAAGCTCTTCGTAAGTGACTGTGGCTTGCTGCAGTATCTTCTTGAGGCAGCGCTTGACGGACTTGACCAGCCGCTCGAAAAAGCCACCCCACCAGGGGGCTTTCTCGAGGTTGAATGACCATTTCACAGACCTGCTGTCGAGCTGAGAGGACACCTCATCGAGTTCGAACAGGGCGCACAAGGTATTGGCCGTGGACTTGAACGTCTTGGCGTTGTCCGACTTCATCTCCTTCGGGATGCCGAATCTGGCTGTGAATCGATGGAAACAGCGCAGAAACGTCTCAGCGGAGAGATCTGGCACGAGATCCAGATGAATCGCTCGGGTAACGCCACAGGTAAACAGCGCGATGTACACCTTCTTCACAGCACTCTGCTCTTTGATGTACAGCGGACCCGCGAAATCGACGCCAGTGTAGGTGAATGGCGCGTCGATTGTCGTCCGGAATT